AGGCCGCCAGCCCCCCCAGGCAGCCCGGCTCCTCCCCGCTCTGCCGCCCCGCAGGCCCGCGAAGGGCTGCCTGGGAGCGGGGCCCTCTCCTGCCTTGGCTCGGGGGTAACCCCTGAGGCCTCCATCCGAAACACCTCCCTTTTCGTTGAGGTTGGACCAGATAACTAGAGGTGCCAGAGTCTCAAGTTTGGAGGCTTTTTGCGAACCTGGTGATAAACGGGGCAGACCTGTAGTCAAGCTTAGCATTAATTACTGTAGAGGCTTTTGAAATCCATAGTGATTACGCACTAACCGATTAAGTCGCCTTTCTTCCCGGGCAGCTGTTGGCGTCTGGTGAGCAAACACCTCCACACCGCGGCGAGGTTTCTGAAGAAAACTGGAACTGAGCACAGGTGGTTGGACCGGCACTTGAAGGATCCCTTTGTCAAGGCAACAAAGCAGCAGCATTACCGCTGCCGAAGTGCCTTCAAATTACTGGAAATTGATGACAAACTTCATATTCTTCGTCCGGGACTTTCCGTTCTTGACTGTGGAGCGGCGCCTGGTGCTTGGAGCCAGGTTGCTGTAGAGAGGGTCAATGCATTAGGTACCGGTAAGTGCATGGTTTTGGCAGGCAAGATGGGGATGATGCTCATGTTGAAGTGTGTGAGAAAACTCAGCTGTAACAGTAGTGGTTTGGGTAAGGGACGTGGGTACTGGCAAGCACCAGGGTCACTGATAGCAGCGTGAAGGTGTGTGCCTGCGTGGCAATGAAAATCTTCATGCAGTCTGGAGAAATCGTATTTGTGAAATAAAAACATACCATGAGGTGCTATGTAGGCGTCACAAAGTGTTCTGATTAACTGTGTTGTGGGAAGGAACCCTCCATCCAGTTCTGAAATTTGTGTAGCCTCCAGCAGGTAACTTGGCTTTTCTGTATTTTTATTTTCCTTCCTGAAAAATGGTAGTAACCACTACATGTGGTTTGTGTGTTTTAAGCCATTAAATATTTACAAGATAAGGTGTTACCATCTGTACTATTGTCCAGGATTTCTGGACTGTCAGCCGTGAAAGAACAGGAGAAAACCAAGAAAAATGCCCCTCGCTTATCCAAAGTAACTGAGTTTTCGTGTCTTGAGTGGAGTAGCTGATAGCAAACCGGCTGTCCAGATGCACGCAGCAAACTGTGTAAGGACAGGAAGACCAGACGTGGCAGGTGGTACGCTAAATTGTTTATTGACTAGCATGGGGCTCACATGAGTATATATATATGCAAGCTGTTCGCAGCCGTTATGAGTGTTCAGTATGTCGTTCATTCTTCTGATCTAGATCCTGCTCTGCCCACCGGCTTCGTCCTTGGCGTTGACCTCCTGCGGATTTCTCCTCTGGAAGGAGCAGTCTTCCTGTCGGAGGCTGACGTGGCAGACCCAGGCACCCTGAAGACAATCCAGAGTCTGCTTCCTGCAGAGAAGGTGGATGTTATCTTGAGTGACATGGCACCTAATGCGACAGGCGTTAAAGAACTGGATCATCAGAAGCTGATCAATCTATGTTTAGGCCTTCTGAATCTGTCCCAAAGTATTTTAAAGCCAAAAGGAACGATGCTCTGTAAATTCTGGGATGGACGTGAGTCCCGTCTTCTGCAGAACAGACTGAAGGAGCAATTCCAGGATGTGAGAACTATAAAGCCTCAGGCCAGTCGGAAAGACTCTGCTGAATCTTATTATTTGGCAAGACTGTACAAAGGGAAATGAAAGCTGAGAACCGCAGGTTTTCAAAAAGGTGATCAGGCATTAACTGGAAATCCGTATTTGGCGTGTGTTTAAAGAAAACCCCCAGCATTAAGACCCTGGGTAAATCTGCCACAGTTCTTACGAAGTACACCATGCTTTTCAAATACAAAAATAAACTGGAGTGGTGTCCTACTGAGTTTATCCACTAATTATACAAGCAGAGACATCCAATCTAGCTTCTCACCTGTGGAGAAAACGGTTGGGAGTGGAGAGGAGTAATCTGAAAGGCAACCTCTGGGTCTGGAGCAATGGAAATGAAAATAAAACAGCGCTTATACGAGTTTTTAATGTGTGCTTGAAAATCATTCTGCTACTAATGTTGTCGTGTATGAGACTAACCATAAAGGCGGTTGTCAGAAGGAGAGGGAGCAGCGAAGGGAGTTTGAGCCAATTTATTGCCTCTTCATCTTTCTTAAAAGCTGGTGCAATTTATTAGGACGCGTAAAAATAGATAACGTTTTTGTGCGTGTCAGAATCTGCATCGTCGCGTACGATCTGTAATGCGGCCGCTCAGGAGATATGGCTGACTCTGGAATATTTAGCCTGATGGCTCTGCTGCATTTTCTAAAGACACAGGTTATATTTAGAAATTGCTACTTCATTGTACTCATAAATCCAGTAAGTGACAGCGGGGCAGGGTCATCGCTACTGAGAAGATAATTTCCCCTGTTTTCAGTAATGTTTTCTATTTGACCAATGATGTTTCTGAGGTGAAAGGACAAGATGTTCCTTGGATCCCAGACACGGAGAATTACTGATTGCATTGCTAGAATTCTGTTTGCAAAAACAAATTTAGGCACTGCCTTATCTGGCAGTGACAACTTTTACGTTTAATAGCACTTTTATCAGGCTGACTGCGGCATGAGTAATAAGAGGGGCTGGTAGCACTGTCTGGTTTTTAAGGCTTCCAGATCTTTCTCCTTATAAACATCCAATTTGGAATTGCTTACAGATTTATAAGGCATGAAAGCCTTATCCCGAGAGCCTGAACCGGGGAGCTGGGCATTGCTTTGCGTCTGTTTGGGACGGGAAAAAATTATGTCGGCCCGCTCTTTTGAGAAACTTTATTACCCGCGATTCGCTACGGGAACTGGCTGCGCGTGTGCCTGCCCTGG